ATTTATTTATACTTTAAATTTATATGTATTTTATTGTCAGTGAATGAATCGATGACATTATGGTAGCGATGAGTGAATTGACAATTCATGAGAGTTTTGGTATCGATTTGTTTATCAATCATCTCTGCAATCAATGGCTAATAATACAATTAAATGTCTATATAATTGAATCAAATATTTAATCAACACTTTAACATCAATTCGTTATTAGTTTGAGAATATATAAAGACTACAAAATGAGAGTCAAGTCTAATAAATGAAAGGAACCGACACCTAAACCAACGGCTTATAAGTTAATTGTGATTAAGGGTTAACTATCAGTCCATTAGACAATTAATCCTTAAGTTTGTATTTTAGATAAAAAGATTCATTTGAAATGCATTTTATAACCGATTATTAGTTATAACATTAAAAACATTACATAAATGTGTCAAACATTATAATAAAGGATGCATTTGTCAGAGCAATCGCTTCCCTAATACTAATAATAATGCATTTGAAAGTTTTGGGACTAATAGTCAGCGCATAATTCATAAGTGGTCTCACAATTGGATGAATCAATCGAAAGACATAATTATCTCCAGAAGCCGAAGAACCCGAAAGAGCACCCAATGGTGTGAAACATAGTTTAACATTAAATTTGCAGATTTATATTAAGGCCTAAAGAGAGCCATTGGATATCAAGCGCTCACAGTCTCGACAATAGTCTTCTTAATGATTTCGCCAAAGTTCTCGCAATTATCTGCCAGAACATCATCCGTGGTGTTGGCCTTCGTGTGCTCAATGGTTTCGACCACCAAATGGTTGTCCCCTTCGGAACAGTCGGACGATACGAAAGACTCCTGTGACTCACAGTTCTCTTTAGCCAATAGGAGTTCGTTAGTCTCGCCATCGCTGAGTGCGCCGTCGCTATTGAGCGGAACGGGATGTAAGCGGTTGTCTTTGGAGGTGCTGGCAGTGGCGGCCGCCGCAGACAACAGGCCGTTGAGGCTCTCAGCGGCCGACGACGAGGCTATAGAGAGGCTGAGGTCTGTGTATTGGTGTACGTCTTCGTTAGAGTTATTCACAGCAATAACTTCACAACAATTATTACTAATGGTTTGCAAACTATTGTTTGCAATCAGTGTATGAGTACTCAGATTTGGCGCACAATTGGCAGCACTGGTAGCGGTGGCGTTGGATAATATGTAATGTCTTTGATAGAGTTCGGGATAGTTATACAGTTGCGGATGGAGTACATACTGAGGGGTAAAGGATTGTGCAGAGAGTGTGTGTGCGGCGGACAACTGATTAGTGGCGAACTGTCCGCTTTGGGCGAACGCCAGAAACGTATTGTTATGACTATTCACTGCATTCACACCAGTGTTCGTACTGATTGTGGGAAAGGGAGGCAATGCGGGCGTTGTGGTCGACGATGAGATAGCACTTGAAGAGGCGGTCGACGACGAGGTGGTGGCCATGGGTTGCAGTGTTTGTGTCGTAAACTGATTATAGTTGGTGTCGGTGTTGGGGTCCGAGTCGTCGTACTCGTCGCTCGTGTAGTCAGAGTTCTCCGAATAGGAGCTGTCGTCGGGACTGTAGGGGGAAGTGCTGTACGCGTCCAATGAGTTACTGTTAGAGTTAGCGGTCGGCGGCTCTGAGCTCATACTCAGGGCTGTCGGCGCTATGTTTGTGTGAGCGAGTGATGACTGCATGAATGCATTGCTAATGGTCTGAGAATTGGCACAATTCATAGCATTGGAAAGCATTTGATGATTGTTTGAATAACTGCTGGAACTGACGAAGTTGTCAGAGGACTGCAGGGGACGCGCATTCAGCTCCTGGTCTCGGGACTAACCAAACATAACATTTCATTAGACATGATATCATCAATAAATTTCTATCAGTTTTATTTGGCGCTTAAAATAAGTTAAGAAATAACGATAAATAAACTTTAAATATAAGATAATTAGCGATAAAAACAAAAACAAAATGAATAAAATATTAAATCAATAAATAAATCAATAAATAAATGATAATAAAAGCAAATAAGAGAAAGTCGAGCGAATACTGTGCGAACAGTAGTGTTAGTGAGGGAGTGGTATGTCTGGTATGTCTGCAAACCTGTTTCTTTTCGAGTTCGATGCGCATCAGTGTGTGGATGAAGTGTGTCCTCACTCTCAACGGATTAAACTCTATTCTTCCGGTTATGTTCGCACAGCCATCGCGAGTACAACCGCACGGGAAACTGATCCTATCATTGCATTCACCAGTTTAGACATATATTCATATGGTTTATATGGGTGCAAAACAACGACATACCTGTCCACTTGANGTGGATGAAGTGTGTCCTCACTCTCAACGGATTAAACTCTATTCTTCCGGTTATGTTCGCACAGCCATCGCGAGTACAACCGCACGGGAAACTGATCCTATCATTGCATTCACCAGTTTAGACATATATTCATATGGTTTATATGGGTGCAAAACAACGACATACCTGTCCACTTGACACTTAATACCGGCTAAACTACAGGCGCACGTCTCGGGATCACAGTATACGCGACACTCGCAGCCGCAGTACTCGCGAGACGCCCGGATGTCACGGCATTCCTCCTTCTCGTTGGTCTCGATCTTACGAACGCCGGACGCTCTGAGGAGAGCCCTGCGCTGTCTGATGGGCACGGGTTGCAGGAAATAACAGCTGTCGGCCTCTAACTCGGAGTCGGATACGTCGCTCAACTCGTCGTAGAGCTCGTCCTCGGACTCTGACGAAGAGGTGGGGTTCACGTATCGATTCTCTTGCATTTTGGCGAACCGTCGCTGACGGACGAGAATCTCTTTGTGGACGCGTTTGCGTTCCTCCGCGTGATCTTCCATCGAAAAGCTCTTGTAGTGGACGTGTT